TAGTTATTGAATGCAATAGGAGTATGGGAGGGGTATCCCGAGGGGTCAGGGTAATAATACGGTTATGGGTGCTTCACCAGAGAGTGGGGAAGTTGAGCAGACCTAAAATGTTGGGTTTGGCAAGACATCTGCGACATACGCATCGACTCAGATTCTGAGAATGGGATAAAGAGGATAATAAACTTCAGGGACATCCGGATCCTCTGCTCAAAGCTGATTCTTGACGACATTACTTTCTGTTTAGAGAAGCATTAATATCAGTGTCATTTCAGACTTCCAGTTCCTTTCATATCGCTAATAACAATCACAGAAAGCTGCGATTCAGATAAACAATGGCCAAAGTTATTAGAAGTAAGTTAAAGTTATTTTAGCATATAAGTTTGAAATGCTCACTGTCTGATTTTTTCATTATCTGAATCTGCTATAAATGTATTTTACATGCATTTATATCTTTTGCCTTGAAAAATTGGTCTTATTACTTAATGGACTTGTTTTATACTGTATAGTTCTGCTAATTCAGGCTCTTATTAGAATTCAAATAAGTTCATTTACATTTTGAATTCTCATCTAAAATAAATTATGATTTCCTCCTTTATTAATTCACTGTCCACTCATCGAAATTCCATCAGTAATATTAGTTAAGTAGAAATTTTTTTGTGATATTTCCGCCTACTGAATGCTAGTGCCATAAAATGTCGGTTTTTTTTAGTTTTTTGAAAATTTTGTTCAGTTTTTGCGCTATATACTACAACAGATTATCAACTTTTGTACGGAAACTCTCTGAAGAACTGACTTAAAAATTTTCTAACTCTTTTAGACCAGTGGGTGTACAAAAAAACTGGACACTGGTACCGATATCTTCCTCGTAGAAATGATATCTCAAAAGAATTCAATTATGAGAAGCACATGGCTGGGCCAGAACATTTTCCTGAAAAGGTTTTTCTCTTTTAATAAATTGTATTTGAAGGAGAATTGCACTTCAGTCAAAATTCTACAGATCTGGGATGATTTCCCAAGGAAGAATTTAGGAGGTTCCCAATATATTATTGAGAGTTTTACAAATATTGGCTCATTAAATGGGAAAAATGCTTACCGCAATTGTTTTTAAAAACATTCGTTGAAATTAGTGTATCCTTGTTCTGTTTTTTATATATTCTTGGTATGAATTAATCTAAAACGTAATTTATGCAGCACAATGATTGAATTTAGGGAAAAACTAACTGCACTCTTTCAGAGAGAAGGTGAACCACCAAAACTCTGGTTAGTATGGATATATAAGAATTATTCGACAAATTCGCCCTATATCAAAAAAAAGATTGAAAATTTATTTGGTAAAGATGTTGAAGTAAGTGACTGATGCTATTTTTTATCAAGAATTAAATACAGGAAGAATTAATTTAATCCTTTAACTTTGTTGGTTTTGAGAAGTCATTGGCCGTCATCATAATTCTTGTTCCTTTCCGTTTTAACAATACAAAAGTCCTCTGTCTTTAATGTATATTTGGCACCAACCCTCTAGTGTCCTCAGCATAGGTGTGATTACCATCTGTAGTCATATACTTCATCGAATGATGGGCACTGCGATTAATGATTTATAATTGTTTGATAAAAGTAAGTAGAAAAAGTAGTACAAACTTCTCTTTCTTGAAGGTTAGCATTAAAAAAGCAGATAAGCGGAATTAATGTGTGGGTAAGCACATTTTTTTCTTCATAAGAATCAAGTGGAAGTTTTATTTTAAAAATAAATTTAGAAGTGATTCTTTCAATGCTTGCTCTTAGACTTCTTTCAGCCTGGTAAAATGTATATTTTCAAAAATACTGCTTCACAGAATACAGAATTATGGCCTTTGAAGCATATCATTGAAGTGCGTGGACTGTCATTTCCCAATGGTGAACCAACAGCTGATGATGTGAAAGCCTTGGAAGTAAGCATGGAAGTGATAAAATAGCTGTTTTACGCAGGAAATCGTGCATTAATAGTGTCTGTTGAATCACTATTTGCTGACTGCAAGCTGACATGCATAAGGACTTTACAAGATTTAATTTTAAAAGTTAACCAAATTAATTAGGCAGCTTTTCAGAATAATTTTTTCAGGTCTTTCCAGATGGAAGATGCATAGTCGACAAGCATTTAGCTTATGAACCGTCTCAGTTGAATGTGATGGATCCGCACAAGCAGGTGTTTTTTCTTGCTATTTGATTTACTTCCTTATTATTCGATTTGTAGTTAAAGTTTTTTCCTTACACTATTAGAATTTTCAGTTACTGTTGAACTATTGAATTCTAACTATGGTACGGTTTTAGGTGAACAGCAAATAAGATTCCGCTAATTACGATATGTTAGATCTGTATACTTTCTTTTTCATTCATTAAAGTCGTTGGATTATTGCTACGTATTCCCTTATTATTGCAGTACAATTATACATACGCCGATAACATATCATCTTTATCTATTATGGCAATATAAATCATAAGTTTTGCTTTATTTAGATGAGTAACAGCTATCTGTGTTCACGACTGAGAAGTCGGTACAACAAATGTCAAGATATATTTGAAACAAATGTTTATACGAGGAAGAATGTCACACTAGTTGAATGATTGTATATTTTATGTGCGTTAACTCATTTGTTTAGGTTTTTTTTTTTTTTTTTTTTTAATTCATTCAATTTGTTAAATCTCTGTCATCATTTTGCTTAAATTTTCATGTGAAAAGACAAAAGCAACATATAAAAATTAAAATAAAAAAAAATAAAAGGCTTCACTCACATTTGGTCCTGTTTATTTTTCATTGCTTTAGCAGTGATATAAGAAGCGAGCGACATGTGTACCCACAGGATAATGTGTTTTCTAATGTCAAATCCGGATAATGGCAGTTTCAGTTTCTTTCACACATTTTCCTTCTGACTGCGAGAATGTTGGGACGTGTTGAAACGATATGGCTTCAAACAAAAGCAACATATAAAAATGACTACACGCACAACTCAAGATTTTCTCCACACAAAGTTGTAAATATCAAATTTTTAGACTTTTAAGTCTAATATTTAGAGATTTTCCAATGTGTGTAGCAAATATATAACGAGTGGTTTTTGAGTTTATGAACAATCATCCTATTGATTTCAATAGCTCATTATTGGAATGGTCAATTCATCTGCATATATATTACATGTAAATTACCATTAGTTGTATCAGTACCACAGTGACAAATGCAAGTCTTGAATTACCTTATATTAAATGGTTGCAGCTGAGGATTTGTTTTTTAAGGATAAGGATTCTGTAGTTACATATTTCTTGCATTTTTAGAAAATATGCTGTGCAAATTTTTTTTGCGATTGATTCATAAAGTTGAGCACTTAAAAAAATTATAAATGTAATTTATCTTCGAGTGAATTTCATTGTGGTCAGCGCAGTTTTTGTTTCAATAGAGCTATGTCATAGAGGTCTCTGAGGTTTGTCCCCCCAGTCCCACGTCATTCGACAGTTATATCAGTTTGAGCAAAAGTTCTAATTCAAGCTAGTTTTCCTCAAAAACAGAGAAGGCGTGTCGCGGTGTGCAGAAGGCAAAAGAATAGTAGACACCTGAAATGATTCCCATCTGATGAGCGAAAAATGAAAGCACCCAAAAAGAACGAAAAAGCTTAAATAAATAGATGTCAGAAGAAGAAACCTTTATAAATCACGAAATATAAGTGAAGTTTAATCTGCTTAAAGATGGATCGGGCACTGGAATGCTATACATTGTCATACTTGCAGCTAATCTCTTCCATTATTCACTCACATGACCATCCACAATGAAGGACCGGGAAAGTGGTAGTAGGGTAAGTACCCCTCTACACTTCTTACAGATAATTTCTGTTCAGTTTCAATAGCTCCTACAATTATCGAAGATTATGTCTGGAAGGGGAATTTGACCAGAATATAAGAGCTGCTATACACAGCTGTCATCCAGCAGTGTTTGTCACCTGCCAGTAATTTTTTCAGGTAATCTAATAGCACGGTAGTTGGTTCATTTGTGGCTATGTTGAATTTGCAGTGAGAATTCATTGGAGGTGTTATGTTGCGAGATGAAATTTGTTTCCATTAAAATAGTATCTAATCACTTTTTCACGATAAGTTCCATCTACTTCTCAGGATTTGTTTCCAAGAAAAAAGTTTTCCATTGTTTTCTGGATGTGCCTCGGTGTAGTGTAATAATTTCCGGAACGATTTGCAGGATAAAATCAACCTGGTGGATGTAGAACCCAAAGAAAATAAAATATGCTTCTGTTAACCTGCGGGATCTTCTGAATGGATGCTCATGAAAACGCCTCATATCATCAGAATGGTTTAGCTTATAATTAAGAGATTATTTCGTTAGACTAAAAATGCTTATACTGTTTGAACAACTCTATTTATTTATTTTGAATGGTGCTATAAAAATGTCTCAGTTTGGAAGATTAAAAAACAGACATTGTGAAAAAATTAGAGGCTATGAATGCTGTGAACATAGAGTTTTAGGCAAGTTTGAAAAATAAACAAAAAATGTAAGAGATAATATAGGACAAAATTCCGGTAATAAGGTGAAGAAGGTCAAGTGAAAGAAAGAGAAAACTCTTACGGAAGCTGTTTAGGTATGGAATATTTAAGTAAGGAAATGAAATGAGAGATGATTAATAAAAGACGAAAACATCAAGTTGGCAAGATTATTCATTCATCATAGTGTGTATCGAGTTCAACGAGACTCTGAATCCATGCCGATAGGGATAAATAAATGCTAAGAATTAACATGAAAAGTTGTCTTTTGTCGTTATGTAATGACTAGTTGGATGCAGGGCTGTTTCAGAACAAACCGGTAGTGATAGCCTTAAAAATTCTGAAAAACTACTTTATATTCTTATCAGTCGTTAAGGACTAAAACTATAGTCCATAATTTCCAGGTAGTAAGAAGTTTTTAATGTATTTCAGCTATTAAGTACGCATTTCTAAGTCATTAAAAAGTAGTTTCATTAGTTTCAGGAGCTAAAATGTCAGCAGAAGGATCAAGTCGACCACGTCCATTATTGGAAACAGCACATCACATTCATCATAAGATCGCCTGGAAAGCTATTAATGTCGATACAAAGCGTGTAATTTTTCGGTGTGACGGTGTCTGCAAAGATGATCCAAAGGTTCCTATTAGCTTTATCATTTTGATTGAAGAAAGTTGTAGTCTGATAATTTAAAAGCATATTCATACAAATAATGATAAACAAGGAACTGATCTTTAACTGCTCTTGCCAACAAATTTTAAATATACCCATGCAGTTTTTCTTTTTACAAGCTTTTTTTTGTTGTTCTGAGCTATATAGAGAGAAATTTACTCTTGAATAGAATAGTAATTGAATTGGACTACTTTCTAGGTCCAAAAGAAAGCAAATTATTTGTATAACAAAGCTGCAATACAAGAACTTATGTATATGGTTGGGAAAAGGAGAGGAGGAGGGAGGTTTATCATTAGAACGGAATTTAAAAGCAGAATACCTTAAAGTGGAGAAAAATGCCAGAAAGAGTGTAGCTTCTTTAATGATATTGCAATCTGTTAATAGGAATATATACAACGTAAGTTTCATTTACTCACCTTGATACTTCGTAAATGAAATTTCTGATATGAATAATTTTAGTATAATGTACATACACTGGGTGATCCGAGGAACCCACTAACAAGATTTCGTAATGTGGAATCGATCGACCTTCCACTACCTTCTTTTGTTGTAAGTCCATTATGCGGAAATTATATAACTATTTAATTTTTTTTTCTTTTTTTTTTTTGTTATGGTTATTGTAAAGTTCGCTTTTCTTCACTTAGTAATTTTGCGGAATATTAGTGGAACGAAAATAATTAGGAAGACTTGGAAATCGTAACATTCTTTGTAAAATTTCTTTGCAGTTGGACAATAACTCGGTTGGACCGCAACCAAAACGTGAAGTTTCCATATTTGGTTTGAATGATAACATAAATAATGCATTTTTGACTGATATGTGCCAGTAGGTTTTTATATGCTTTCTTAAAAATTTGTTTCTGGGGTGAAATATCTAGAATTTGCAGAGAAAATGAATTTACTTGAAAGTTTTACATTTTTATGAATAAAAAAAAAAAAAATTAATAAAATATGCGAAGCGACATTCTACTTTAACACTTATATTTCAATGTTTTTAGAAAGACCGGTCAAATTGTTGAGGTATTCGTATATATGCATCCTCGAACAAAAAAACATTTGGGCATGGCATACGTTGTCTTCCAGGATGTTGGTAAAGCTGAATTGTTTGTTGCAAAAAATGACGGTACTTCAGTTATGGGACAAACAATTAAGTGTATTATTGATCCATATGGTGCGTTTATTTTTTTACTTTATTAACTTATTTGTTTACGACTACTGATACTGATTTTTACTCGCACACATGCACAGACAGAACAGTTGAAAAACATTAATTAATTAGCTTTACTTGACTTAATAGGAAAAATATAGAAATTGCAGAGATTAATAATAAATTATTGCAAATAATAGAATATTTTATTTTTGAGCGAAGGAAATAAGTCGACGCTATGAAGAGCGAGCAGTGGAAACAGCACCAATACCTCATTACTTATCACGCTTGGATCATAACAGACTAATTGAGTTTCGAAGAGTCAGCTGTACAAGTACTTCTGAATGTGTAGGTTTTGCAATATCAGATTACTTTCTAGATGGAATCTTTTCATGATAGCTTTCTCTTTCACAAAAAATTATTATTAGTTTGTGATATATTTAGCTAGTAAAATAGTAAAAATGCAAAACAAAGTCATGAAAATCGAAAAAAAAAAAAAAAAAACAAAACAAGTAACCAAGTATTTTAAATTGATGAGAAACCAAATATTTCAAATTCCAGAAAAGCATTCTCATAAGTTCATCACCTCCTACCAATGCTCAACAATCCAGTGATTTTGAAGCATCAGAACTGTCATCGAAAAAACAATCTGTAGAATCTGAAGCGGCTTCTCATCGTCAAGTGCATCAGCAATCGGCTGAAGCTGCATTGGCGAAAGGTATCCAATTTCCTTATTAATTTCATACTTACTTGCTATGGTCAGTTTGAAAATGTCTGTAGTTCTGAAAAGCTGGGTATAAACAATAAAGAACAGCTCTGTTTTGTTTCCGATAGAAAAATTAGCAGGAAAAGAATAGCTGGTAAATAATAATTCTTTTATATTATTACTTCATCACTTTTGAAGGAATGATGGATGATACGATGATATATTCGATCCTTTGTATCATTTCCATTACTTTCATAAACTCTTATCCAAATTTTTTATCAATTCATCCAAGTGTTTGATGAAAACATTTTGTCATTATTTATATGATAAAAAGTATTTTAAATTATATCTCAGATTTTTTGAAAAAAGAGACGTTAGATTTGCAAAACAAATTTGTGTTATAGTAGCACATATCGGAAATGTGGTACCATGTAATGAACGTACGACAGTTCCACCAATAGCCGGATATTTTGCTTCATCGACAACATCTCCTTCCGCTACAACTTCATGTCCATTGTTAAAAACAACACATCAAACATTTTGTTCCCATCATTTCATTTCTCATCAACAATCGCAGACGCCGTTTACTTACCACCATTCGATGCCAGTCAATCCGATATCTCCTCTTCCTAATTTTCCACCAGTTTCACCTTCCGTCAGTGTTTTCTCATCCCTTCCACCAATAGCTGGACGAATGCCATTTCCTATATGGTCTAATCTGCCATCATCACCTTTGCGATCTTCAGGTTACTTTAAATTTTGGTAATTTTGAATTTTTTGAGGCTATCACTGGGAAACCATAAATGTTCCTTCGGTAGTTATGAACATTTCAGTTCCCAATAAATTTAAATGCACTTTACCAGAAACAAGAATTTTAAATTTTAGATGATACATTAATCTTCTTTTGTTTACTTATTTTTTATGATGAATGTTTTCAATAGATAATACTTGGCCAAGAGCAAAAGCAGTTGTGTCTGCTCCGGTACAACCGCAAGTCCTATCCATAAGAAGTCCGGCACCAACAGCATTAAATTTTGTTTCAACTGCTTACCAAGCTGTACCAAGTACTTCATCTTGCGAGGAAGTTGCTCCGATGGATCCAGCACCGTCGAAAGTTTCTTTTTTAACCTTATATATTATCGTATCCTTTGGTTCATGCTGTCTTCATAGACATGAAGCACTAAAATTACATATTAATTCTAGTGCTTCATCTATTGTTTATAGAAATATTGTCCTTCGGAAAGAAAAAGCCATTCTAATGAAGTTATATCTATCAGTCTTTCAGCCATTAGTTTTTTGGAAAAACGACGACGTCCTTCGACTTTCATCTAAATTATTCGAAACCTTATGTTTGTATCATCATACGTCAATCATTTCATAATATTGAGAAGGTCGTATGAGCTCTCTAGAGTTAATACTTTTCATGGAAATTTTGAAGTTGCTTAAAGTATTTTTATATTTTTAATATCAGGAAAATGAGGAAAGGAAAAAACCGAAAACAGCTGTTGCAAGTGTACAGAGAAGAAAACGAAATGTTTCAGGCTAGTTTAAACGTATTTCCGTTAAATACTTGCATTGCTTTGGCAGCAAATGCAACAGATGAAATTTACTAAGAATTTATTTTTCGAATAAGTTTTCTAGTACTGGACGAGTTTTTTTAAGATATCATTAAGGAAGTCGTGTAAAAATTATTTCTCAGAAAATCCAAGAGAAGGGAATCTATGGAAAAACAGATTTAATAAGCAGATCTCAAATGATATTTTCCTCCAGCAAGTGGAAAAATAAAAGTAAGAAAAAGAAGACGGTTTCGTGAAGCCATTCCAGCTTCTTCTGCTTCTGGAAATACCAATTCAGAAAGTGATGAAAGAAGTGAATTGAGCAAAGAAAGTTCTCAGGATAGCAGTAGTACTGTTGAAAAGGAACATCGACATCGAAAAAAAGGAGTTGTAGAAGTAAGTGATATATTCGATATGATGACTTCACATCAAAATCTGTTAGGTTGAACCGAGCAAGCATTAAAATCTGTATAATCTTTCATATAATTCAAGGTAAAATAAGTGAAATATTACAAAGTTAAAGATAACTTGAACCTTTTCATAGAAATCATGGCTACTTCTGTTACGCAATTATTGGAAATTGCAATACATCTTTTTTTAACTTTTAATGCCCCATCTTTGTTCTTCTCAAGAGCACGGGAGAGAGAATAAGGGAATCGTGATAATAGTTTGTTTTAGTTTTAGTTATTTCATTTTTTTAAAATTTCTCTAATGGCGAACCGTGCTATGTGTAACTCGCTGAATTTCATTATATGGTTTTCCAATGATTCAAATTTGTTATTTCAAAATTTTTTAGGAACGTAAATATTACAGAAGAAAAGGAGTAGGTGGAACCAGCGATTACTACAAGGTAAGAAGATTTATTTGTTGTTGACCCGAGTTTTTTGAACTGTGAAGTAAAGATGTGATCAATAGTAATATTATATGGAATAGTTTGAAGAGTTCCTCAACTTTTGATGAGACATTTTGTATTGTATTCTGTTATTAAAGACTGTAGTTAGAGTGCTTTTGTATTTGGATTTTTTAGAGAGAATAAGAAGTGGAAAATTGACAAATAATATTTACAAAAAAAAATTTTTTTGTTCACTTTGATTTGTTTTATCACTTTAAGAGCGATGGCTTTCAAGTCTTACTTGATATTTTCCTTACATATACATATAAATCACATAGTGTTAGAAAATTACATCGGTTGAGTATTCAAATTATGCTTTTATTTATAATCGAGTATTTTACCTTATGTTTTTTTAGGAAATTGTAATTCGAAGAAATGATAATACTCGAAAATGTTCACATGAGCCTAGATCAAATTCACCAGAACTAGTGGAAGAAGTGGAAAGTTATCAACGCATAAGAAAATATAAAAAACAGCACGAAGAAATTACTGACCGGGATGAGCATTTCGTGGAACCGGATGTTGACTTGCCTGATCTGGAAAGTGTGAGTAGTGACTCAGTAGTGACTGAAGATCAGCTCAGTACGCAGCAACAAGAGCTAAAGGTGCAGTTAGGGATGGATTTTAATATTCGAAATTGTTTCTTGATCAGTAAAATTATAAGGCACTAGTTCAATAAATGCTTGAGAAATTAGAAAGTAATTTTAAAAAAGTTGTATTTATAAGCTTTTTGTTGGTTTTACGATGTTCAGAAGAACTCGTTGGTGGCTGAGCTCGTAGCATGGGACAATTTTTAGATAACATTATAATTCGTTGACTTCTAAAAATTTCAATACTTGCAGTAGTTTCAGGCAAAAAAAACTAAAAGTAATAGAAAGGTTTTATCAATAAAGCATATCCGCCAGCAAAAATCCAAATACGTGGATTGGAGGAAGAAGCGAATTATGAAAGAAAGGCGTAAACAGTGGTATGTCTCAATATTGAAGTCCAAAAATAAAATTTCCTTTTCATATGTTTGAGGCGACTTTATTACAAATAAAGAAGAGTTATAAGATAGAAATAAAAATGGAATTTTTTATCAGTTTTTGTCAAAAGTTCTTTATCGTAATTGTCTATCATAATAAAGATTTTTTTTTTTATTACAGTGACCACAGGAGTTATGGGGATCGAGAAAATTCTAGTTTTAGTGGGAATGAAAAGGGTCATAGGTGGTCTTCATCTTCCTCAACTACAGAATCAGAAACAGAATCTGATGGATCAGATTCTTTCAAAAATTGTAGAAGATAGGTTTTTAAAGTTCTTACAACGATAACATTGGAAGGTATATAGATAATAATTTTCAGAAGCGAAAACTTTTGGACGTGAAGTTAAGCTCTTTTATTACATAAAACCATCGACCCTTCTAGAAGAATCAGAAACAAAAGATTATTGATATGTGTAGTGTTGCATTTAGAAATGTGATTTCAATATTTTAGACAATCAGAAGATTATTCATGACTTGTTTGCTATATCTCAAACAAATTTTCGCAGTTATAGGCATAATTTACCTCGGATTCGTTATGTCCGTAAACCGTTCAGGAAGATGAATGGTCTTCTTCTTTGAAATTCACAATAACTACTGCCTTCGTTTTAGGGCAGGTAGACGTCTTTCAAGCCTTCGTTCACCAAAAAATTTACAAGTGATAAACCTGTCGGTTTGTTTTTATGTATTAAAGTGTTGCATGATCATAATATTATTGTCTGTGAAAATATTCAGCTTTTGTATAAATTGGAAACATAATCAGTTCTGAATTACAAAATAAATTTTTAAAACTGAACCTTACGTGATAACTTTAACACAGCCCTCATAAATTTTTAAAACTGAACCTTACGTGATAACTTTAACACAGCCCTCATGTGTGGGATAGTTTTCATATTGGACTAGCTCATTAGCTTATACTCGAACTGGAAAGTTATTTAGGATATGGTTGAGGCTGTGACTGCAAGCAGCGAAGAATCCCATGGTGAAGAAGCTGGAACAAGTGGTTTAACACATCAGTCAACAGCACGGCATATGAAAAATAGTTTCATAAGGAGTTAGTCCGTTTTAACATTTCTTATGATCGTCTGTTTTGGAAAATGGATTTGAGTGTTATCGAATTTTTATGAAACTGTGATAATTCTATCATGCAACGGCTAGACTTTTTTTAGAGAATGAATCGACTCAGTCACTGCCAATTCTGAATTTTATAGCTTTACCCGAGAAGCTTTCGGGTGATTCTCCACTTCCGTGCGTCGTTCAATCTACTCCTCCGGCAGAAAGTTCACGACTTTCTTTCGAACGACGACTTGAAAATTTGTTTCGATCCACTTCAGTGCATCCTCCTCCAGGCGTGGTCAGATCTTTTAAAGTTTACGTTTTTTGAGCATAGCATATGATTATAATTAAGAACTTTTGAGTTAACTATGAAAGGTGGTTTCCAGTTAAAATAAAGTGAGAAAAATGGAATGGAAAGCATTTTGTGAGACATTTGTTAAAATTGATTTTCCGGTTTGCATTGCCTGCAAAGTTCGGATTCTCATAGAATAGAATAGTATTGATTAATAGAGGATGGAAGAGCGGAAAAAGGAAGGCGATTATGGATTACGAATTTTTTCTGCTATTTATAAATTGGTTTTTCAGATTATTGAGACACACGAAGAAGAGCAGCCAAACGATGCAGGTGGTACGTATCATTACTTCTTTTTTTTCCATTAAATTCATAATGAAAAATACGATCTTAAATGTTGAGTTCTTCCTTTTATTAATAGGTCACGAATACCTAGTAAAATATATCATTGTTTCTTTTTGGTTTCGTTATTATTTGTTATTTCTGTGCAAGATGTATGTGGTTCGCTTCAAGACCGGATTAAACTGTTTAATTTTCAAAGAAAGATGCCTGGGAATTTAAGAAATAGGAAGTAGAGTCCGGAGGAGATATTGATAATTTCCTAATTAAGTTCATTAAATATATATAAGAATGCTTTATTGCTTGAAGTATGCTTACATTGCAATATGAAATCTTCACCTCTGATTTAATCTAAAATCCTGTGGGGCATTTCGGTAGTCTTATTTATATTTCTGTATCTTACTTTACGACTACATATCTATTTTTCAGTCTTTGGTATGCCTTTTCCAACACCAAATACAGTACCTAATACTGTGGAGTTAAAAGGAATGCCTATGTCCGAAACCTTTCTTATTGAGCACAATAATACAAAAATTACTGTTGCCAGGCAGCCATCTGATTTAAATTCTGCGTAAGTTCTAAATGAAATTTCGAAAAAAGTTTCTCTTTCGTTAGGTATGTTTAGTTGTTTTTAAACAATCTTAGTATTTCGAAATCCCCTAAGATTATCTGGTTCATATACAGTAACAAGAAAAAATAGATGATTTACAAACTTGTCCTGAAAGTGTTTTAATTCCTTCAGCTATTACATTCGTTTTCCTTTCTATTTAGTTTTTGCAGCATGTCATGAAAGTTTGCACAAACTGTAAAATTCGAAACAGGATAACGTTTGCTTTTGTCTATAATTAGCTTTTCCTTTTATATCATAATACGTGAAGGAATAGAAACTATTGCGGTGCCGACGGTTTCTAAGTGCGTTGAAAACACTCTTTGATCATCTTGTTCAATTATGAACCTTTTTATCTCTCTAAACGTCTTTGTTGCAACAGATTATCTAACAAAATTTGTATATTGTTAACCTACTACTTTTATTTGAATCACAGTTGCTCTTAATATTGTAATTTTCCAAAGTTAATCTGAAATCTTTTTTTCATGTTCATTTTCTTAACAGGATAACGTTTACTCCTGGACTTTTCAGTGAATCTTGGAAAAACTCACAAATACAGATAACATCAGACGCAGTACATCGTAATACTATCTCAGATCCAGTTTCTTTTGAGGCAAGTTAATTTTTTTAATAACAGTTAAAATATAATCTTATTCAGATATTTTATTGCTCATTCCAAAAGCGATCATTATCGATTTAATTGTTAAAGTAAGTATAATTAATTTATTAAACAAATGTTTATATTGTATATCGGCTTCATTTTTTATAGCTTGTCGCGTCTTCTCCGGTGGATACTATTTGCAATAAGGTTAGAGAAGAACGGAGTGAATTGGTTGAGGATAAAAAAATGGAAGTCGGAAGTTCGGAAGAGAATAAGAAGCAAAGAGAACTGGAAGGGCAGATTTTGGAGAAAAAAGTAAAGATTGTAATATCATTCTTCCTGTTTTTTTACTTGTTCATTTGCAAATCAACATCTTAATAAATTCATTTCAACCTTAATAAAAATTCATTTTGTTTTCAGAAAGTAGCTCGGGAAAACTATGTGCATGCAGTATATGTGGCAGTTCGTGAAGACCTGAAAAATGTTTTGCTAAAGGACTTAATGCGCAAAATTGAAAGTATCGCTTTTGAAAAATTGGAACGTGGTTGGATGGAAAGAGAAAAAACTAAAATCGTGGTACTTATTCAAATGCTTTTTATAGCGAGATAACTTGATAATTTTAGAACAATCGATTTAAGGAATAAATTGCCGCATTTTTTGTAATACATATTGGGGAGGTGAGGGAAGAAGTGCATTCTTAAGTATGTTCATCATCTTTGACACTATTTATGATTTTGAAGAAATATAGAGCATTATCACTATTGTTTATTGAAAAACAATATATTTCAAAATGTTGAACTTCACTACATCCGAATTTTACACATATTTTCTGGAAAGACGAGTTATCATTAGGACTGTTTAAATTTAAACTTTTTTTGAACTGTCCGCAGCGAGAATTTTGTTTTCCAATGAAATAATTCAGTAAAATTTATAAGCTTATAATTTTAAAAGCATGGTAAATTATATTCTGTATCGTTTAAAATTATCAATTTTTTATCTATTTCCAGGAGCAAGACGGTGATTCATGGCAAAATGAAGCAAAGAACGATGCTACTGATATTCCTATATTAACTGTTGATAAAACCAACTTCTCTTCAGCTAGACAAACTGTTAGGTAGAATTTTAGTGCCATTATTATTATTGTTATTATTATTATTATTATTATTATTATTATCATTATCATTATCATTATTATTATTATAGTTATTATTATTATTATTATTATTATTATTATTATTATTATCATTATCATTATTATTGTTATTATTATTAAATGATTTCCAGATAACATGAAAGGTGGGCAACATTTCAGATCGATTTATCTAAATACGTAAAAGCGGTGCACAAAATCATTTATTAATAAATGATTTGTATTATTGCGCAGAAATTCACAGCCTATTAAAATTTTTCATCATATAATAAATTAGAAATATTATTACCTGAATACTGACATTATGATGTTTGTATTTTGAAATTTCCTAAACACTTAACTCTGCTTTCCAGTTCGAAAGATTCGCTGAATGAGGTGGTCCGACAAGTGACTGAGCAAACAAGAGCTGAAATGTCGGCTGCATTTGGTCCCGATACAGCGGCATTGTTGGGCACTGGATTATTTTTCAAAGGTTTGGGCATTGCACGAAATATGCCGAGTTTCAAAAAGGTTTTTTTTTTTTTTTTGAGGGATCATAACTTATTCAACTTCATATTCAGACAAATATTATGTTTTATGAGATTTCTTTTCTCCAGATATGAGAAAAATTTTTCCTTTTTCTTTTCTTTTTTTTTTTGGAAAAATTTTTTTCGTTTTGTGACAGTCGTTTTACTGTTTTGTTATTCTATACTACATTCTTACCTTTCCAAGCAGTAAATGATAGTGCTGTTATTAAACCGAATTATGTATCCTTTGTTTCATATTTGATCTTTATTTTCTAGCACTTTTCCGCATTTTTTCCACTTCATGTTTACATATTATCCTTAATATGAGACTTTCAGAAACAAGCACACTTATCACCGGAACGAAAACAACGATCCAGAAGTAGGAGTAG